TGTGGGGATTACTATTTTGTCTTGTGCATTCGCTCATGTTTGGGGGCCAGTCATTTGTTCGAACAGCTAGGGGTGACAACATCTGTGTAGCAGTTTGCTGGTTCAATTCCTCTTGAATACGCCAAGACTATCATCTCCATATTCATCCTTATTCTTTTCTCGTCACTTTTTATACTCATGCTTCTTTTTTACATTTTGTGTTCCTCTCTCTCACTCTCTCTCTCAATGAGGTTATCTGCGATGAAGTAGTTAAAGATATTAAAATCAGTATCAAAATTCATATCCTAATTTACCAAGCAAGAAAGTATCACTCAAGTAACAACTGTATGGTGGGTGTGATTGTTATTAGATCTTGGAATGTTGTGTAAGCTTTCCTCATATTTACTGGCTACTTGCAATTGAACTTGAACCATCCTTTAGTTTATTAAAATAGTGTGATGGGCCTACTTGTAAATGAAAGCATATTCTAGCGCACAATGCCTATTATTTAAGAACATAATGGTTAAAATTACTTGCTTTGTCTATGGGATGTTAACTGGTGTGAATAGTTATTGGGCTCTTGCTTTTGATGATTGTGTGATAGTGTCATTCACAAAATTGTGTTCTATTTGGGCATAGGTGGGAAGATGGCACTTTCATCTACAAGACTGCACAATATTAGAGCCAACAACATCTAACTTCGAGTCTGATTAAGTTATTAGAGAATCAACAATATTTGACCGCCCATGGGAATTCTGAAAAGCGTGTAATCATAGTCATATTAGCTCTGAGTTTAGTGATTCATGTTGCATTTTTCTTTCTCCTTATAGAAAAGGAGTAAGGTGGTGTACTTCTCAATCTTACATGTTGTATATTTTTTTCTCCTCATAAAAAAGGAGTAAGCATATAAGGTGTACTCCTCAATCTTAATATACTTCTATCTGGATCAAAGGAAATTTTGTTATATGTTTTTCTTACCATTTCTCTTTCGGATGCTGGGTTGACTCAAGTCTTTGGGTGCCTAAATTTTTTTTCAGAAACATTGGTTAAAATGTAGGTGGATATCAGTTAATTCGAAGAGACATTAAACCATGACATTGACAGGCCTTATATAGTGTTATAGTTTATTGGAAACTTTATGTGCCACTACAGATCTCATGCAAATCAAATACTTAATCTCATTCGAATTAAATAAGAATTTGCAGGATTTGTGCATAGCCTCACCACTGGCAAATTTTTGCCTCAAATCTCGTACGAATTGAAATCCAATTGATGGGTCTTATATAGTTTTACAGTTTATCGGAAACCATATGTGACATTAAAAATCTCATTCGAATTAAATAAGTATTTACATGATTTGTGTATGGCCTTACCCCTTGCAAATTTAGCCTTAAATCTCATCCGAATTAAAATTCATTTGTTGGGCCGAGTGAGAATGAGGGGGAGAGAGAATGAGAGAGTTTAAAGGGAATTAAAATCCAACTTGTGGTTTCCAACCCACAACACCTTCATCCCAAAAGTGAAAAAAGAATAATTTAAAAGGAATTTCCCCAATTTTGAAAAAATTGAAAGTAATTTCCCAAGCATGATATCCTCGACTATACCAGAAGGAATTTGGAAGTCTTTAACGCCATCAAAATAAGACTATGAATCTATTACATAGAAGTACACGAATTAAGAATTCTACAACAAAAGACAACCCCACAAGAAGGCGGCATTATTGCACAATATTTTGCCATTGAACTTCATCTTGAAAGAACCGATTGCATTATGCATTCCATAAACTGAAATTTAAAAAACACATTTATATTTATTGATTTGAATGCAGCAATTTTGGCACTTCCTTCGATGGTCTAGTGTTGATTATCTGGGACCGAATCTTCCTCTCTTCAAAACAACCTCTTGACTGGCTGAACCCCTTTGTCTTCGTGAACCATTTATCTGCATGAAAATTCAGCAGCATATTAATACAGTCTTTAACCCTTGTAAGTTCTTTATAAAAACAATTGTTTTAAGTGAGACAATTATAGAAAATCAAAGAAGCTTCATTTAAGAGAGATTGCTGCAAAAAACTAGAAGTTAACAATAACTCAGGTCTAAAGTTTGTACAAATTCATAACACATTGCCTCCAGGAAAATAGCGTGCATACCATTAAATTATTGAAATAAACAAACACCTATGAAATGTACAAGCATTTTTCAGAATACTGAAGAAATGTAAATTCAAACCATAATAGACCCTAGAAGAATTATTTGATTCCGCCAAGACACCAAGGTTGCATTTGTGCACATATGGATAACCCTAAATAGCCAATATAATCACGAAAAAACTAAACCCATTTGAAGAAGACATCGATTCTAATGGTAGAGCAAGAGAGAGAGACCTTGGGGCTGCCCCAAATTGAGAGAGAGACCCCTTGAGTCAGTGCCCTAAGCAGGGAGAGAGAGAGAGAAAGAACCAAAGCAGGGAGAGAACCAGAGAGATAGAGAGCCCCTTGGGCAGCCCCAAATTGAGAGAAAGAGAGGGCCAATGCCGCCCTAACAGAGAGATTGACAGAGAGAACTAGAGCAAGTGCCCTAACCGAGAGAGAGAGAGTCCGAGCCGAGAAAGGGAAATCCAGAGCCGTGAGAGAGAGAGCCAATGCCTTAATCAAGAGAGAGAGAGAGAGATAGAATCAGAGCACAGAGAGAACCATAGAGAGAGGGCTAGCACCTTAACCAAGAGTGAAAGAAGAAGAGAGAGAGAGAAAATCAGAGAGAGATAGGGAGATCCAAAGCCGAGAGAGAGAAATAGAGCAGAGAGCAGACCATACGTGATGTTAAGCACAAGCCTTCTAACTGGTTCTCCGACATGCTAACTATGGTTCTTATTACCTAGTGGGTTAATCTTATTATTTTATTATATATATATATATATATATATGGAAAAGTTTTAAAAATGTCACAAGTCGAAAGTGAATGGTACTTCGCTTGTAATGGCTCTCATATTTTTTACATGAAAAATCGACCATACTGGGACTGCAATAGACATAGCATGCCCGGTGAGGTCGATTTAACCACTCCACGCCGTTCGAAAAAATCAGACGGTGCCGAGTCTATGGGCGAAAATATTGTTCATTTTCGCCCATTGACGTTGCGTAGTGGCTTCCGCGCACGCGTGCACACACACACACACACACACACATATATATATATATATACATATATATAATCATAACAGAGGTTGCACGGAAGTAGATCATACTTTATTACAGAGATCACACTTTTACATATATGAAACAATAAAAGAAGAGAAATAAGAGATGA